GAGAAGTTTCCCTGTATCTAAATGAATGAGTATCAAACTCAAATTTACTAAAATTGAGACGTACCTTCGGGTCCAAGAAGACTATTTTTCTCAAATTAATCCATAAACTTGAAGCAGCTTAATTTGTCAAAGTTTTGAAGGTTTTTTAACTAAACTTTACGTAAGCGCCTATGATATTGTGTGGATGCTATGTAATCCATAAATATTTTACTTAAGAAGGAATGGAGAAAAATGAAGATATCTTTAATAATTAAAATATCAAGAATGAAAATAAAAAAAAAAAATTAAAATATTTTAAATAAATTAACACACAAAAATTTATTTAAAAAAAGTTTAATAAGTCATTTTTAAATCTTAATATTTGAATTCAATTAATTAAAAATTTAATTCTCATCCATTATCGATTACTTCAAACAATTCTTCTTCTCCCACAATTTTTTGTATTCAAAAAAAAAAATTAATAATAATAATTTTAAGATTAGAATAAATAAAGTTATGCAAGGATCTAGATTGGTGATCGATTAAGACGTAATTTTATTAGATACGATGTACTTATGTGATGTCATCCCTTATTTCTTTATTTGAAAACGGCTGAAAATTTTTGATAGATTTGATTTGAGTATATTGACATGCTTTTTAAAATTTTTTAAATTATGATGTAGAGAATAAACTTCTTAATTAAAATGATTCCCCGTTAATACCATTCATTAAATTTAACCTTATTGCTTGGAAAGAAACTTTTCCAAGGAATGCATTTACATGTGAAATGTTTTGAGGTCCTACCAGAAAGGCATTGCACAAGAAATTAGTGGTTTGGTCTCGGGTTAACGTGTTCCAACCGGAAGGGAAAGCCAAACATTGGACAAAAGTTTGTGTCTTTTTCTTCTTTTAGACCAGACATCATGTGATTAGTTGTTTGATAATTCACGACTGTTTTTCTTTTTTCTTTTTTAATTGTATAATAAAACATAAATTTTTCTCTTTTTTTTTATTTACTTAGCTTATAATTTATATATGAAAAAAGTATCTATCAATTTTTACTCTAAAAAATAATTGAAATCTTAATATTAAATTATTTTATTTTATTTAATTAAAATTTAATTTAAAATTAAAAAAATTATCTTATTAAATATTAATATATTAAAATATATAATGAGTTGTTAAATTTAAATATCAACATTTAATTAGATAAGTTTTTAATTTTTAAATATAAATTAAAATTTTAATTTTTTAAAATTAAAACTAATATGTACTAATTTTTTATATATTATATATTATGTGACTTTTTTTTTTAATTAAAAAATATTACCATTAACTTAAAAGTGGGATCTCTTTCAAAATTTAACTCACGGCTATCTACAGCAACCGCCACCGCCACCGCCAACGCGGCCGTTGATTTGGTAAACTTTCACGCGTCCAATCTCTACAAAGCGAGCTTTCCACGTGTACTTCTCTTATTGGTGCTCCCAGTGACACTCCGTTTCCTTCCTCCACATCGTATGTCACGAGTCAAGACGTCTCTCGCACTCCTTAATCCCGCATTCGAAGAAGTCATCGCGCTCTGCAGCGATTCTCTCCCAAACCCAAATCTGAATCCAAAACTAAATCCCTCTTCTATTTTTTTCACTGTGAAAACAAAGCATTCCCACCGATACCGAAGATTCATTCCACTGTGATTCTGCACAATCACTCCTCCATCTCGACAAGATCCTTTGATTTTCGTTTTTGAAGTTCTGAAATCTTGTCGTGAAGGCATGAGACTTGATGATGATGCCTTGGGAGGGGAGATTGGCGCGGTGTTCGCCGTGTCTCCACCTCTGAAATCTCCGGCAACTGTAGCGGAGAGCGATGACGACGGAGAGGAGATTTTCGTGCCTCCTTTGAATTTCTCCATGGTCGATAATGGCGTTTTCAGGTCCGGTTTCCCTGATTCTGCCAATTTCAGCTTTCTGCGTTCGTTAGGGCTCCGCTCGATTGTGTGAGTTTAACGATGCCATTTCTCGATTTATTATCTTCGATGCAAGCGTTAGCTAATCAAAGTTTTTTTTGGCGATTGTAACTGTTCCTCTCCTAACTGTTGGAAATTAGATGTTTGTGTCCCGAACCATATCCAGAAGCGAATGATGCGTTTTTGAAGGCTAATGGAATTCGGCTCTATCAATTCGGGATCGATGGATGTAAGGTATATTTCTGTGTCCATTTCGTTTTTAATTCCATGGCTACACTTAAATTACAGTTTGTCTTGGTATAATATGTAACATAATAAGTCATCTATATCCTTGGGAATACTACTTTGCCCTGTTGGATCTCTCTCCATTTCCATAGATTTTTAGGAGCCTAATCGCGATCAAAACGTTTAATCTCTCTCTTCGCAATCCCACTTATTGTATTCACCTCTTTTCCCCTTTGGATTTGCAAGGTAGAATGATTGATATTATGTTGTCTTTGATGCTATGTTTCCTCTTTCCTGTATTCTGCTTATGGCAACGCACTCTGGATTTTTTCTAAGCAATGAACCTCAATCATTCAGTCCTCCTGAATGGTGGTTTGCTTCTAGAAGTTGATTGCAAAACTGTACCTTCAATATTAACTTTGGGTGGGCAGCGGGCTAAAACTTGCTCTTATACAATGTATATTGATAAATGTGAACACTGGACAGGAACCTTTTGTAAACATTCCAGAGGAAACAATCCGGGCAGCACTCAAAGTAGTCGTTGGTATATCACAAAAAATCTAAATTTCTGCATGATACAATATCCCTTGCTTATAGATTTCTTGTTTTGCTATCTGCTCATGCATGTTCTTGACTTTACGATGCAGATGTAAAGAATCATCCGCTTTTGATTCATTGCAATAGAGGGAAGGTAATTTTATCTGCTCATGCATGTTCTTTTTTTTTCATTGTTACTTAAATGAGTATTTTGCTAACTTTTTGAGTAATTTCTGTCAATATCTTTGTTCAGCACCGTACTGGATGTCTTGTTGGATGCTTAAGAAGACTACAGAAATGGTGCCTGACTTCTATATTTGATGAGTACCAGCGATTTGCTGCAGCCAAGGCAAGAGTGTCAGACCAGAGGTTTATAGAGTTGTTTGATGTCTCTAGCTGCCGTTAACATTTTCATCCTCGAAGAGAAAAGCTAGCAGCATATTAGGAATGCCCAAGTTATCACAGCCAAAGGAAAGAATAAGAGTTCATGATGTGTTTTAGTTTAGGATTAGTGTTTTCTTCTTTTGCTTCTTTGGTTATGGATTAGTGCTTTCTTAGAGTATCTATTTTATCTGCTTTTGATAGGAAACCCCATACCCGTAGCTTACCCGTTCTTGTATACCTATTGTATTAAGGCATTAATTAAGCCAATTAAGACCAAAAACAAGGAAGGCAATGAAGCTCAAATAAATTAAACGTTGGCAATCGGCGTAAGCAAAATCGGGCCTCTCAAACCTATGAAGAAACCTGTTATTGCAGCGGTTGGGCTTTATGATTTTTGGGCCGAAGTTGGGCTTTATAATTGAAAATGCCATTTAAAGTGAATTTTAAACACATGCAGGGCCCATTAAGTTCAATAAATCTGCACTGCAATTGTTGCTGAAATTGTAAATGTAGTAAGAGATGGAATTGAATCATGTTGTTGTTGTACCACCAAACGCCGCAACAATGGCCGAGTGCTGTAGCTTTAGAATGGGACCGGCGCAAGAATATCTTGTGCGGTTTTAGATTAATTTTATTTTAGTTTACCTTGACCGTAGAGTAGTTGCAGAGTTCTTTTATTGCGGTAGAAGACTGCTCTTTGAGCTGTTGTTTTCTGTGCAAACAACGTTTGATTGAGTGAAATTTTACATTTCATCAAAAAACAACTGCATAACGTATTTGGTTTGAACGAAGAGAAAATTTTTTAGAGGAAAGGAACCGATTGTTGCAAATGTGACGGAAAACAGAGACACCAACCTTTTTCCTGAATCTTTTTAAGTTTTAAGAATCATTTTTCATTGTTTTCAGAGCTCTCTGCACTCTCCTGTCCATAAATACGGTTGAACTTGGCAATTTGTCCTTCACTTGCAGCCATCTGGCGTCTTGCCCTGAAGTGATTTTTGTCATCATAACGTGCATCAACCGCCCACTCTGGGTCACATAGGATATCCACTGCATCTGAGGGTGCAATCCTTTCTTCATATTTCCACAAACCTCTAAAATCCAAACAGAAACTTTGTAAGAACACCACCATAGCGTCCAATGACTGCACTTGCCCACTAACAAATCAATAAAATTAGTACAAGAGCATAGCAAGCAAAGTCAGTACAATAAATTTTTTATTTCATCAGATATATATAATTAAGGATAACCCTCTGCCCTTCCCTTATTGTTTTTTATCTATTTAAATATTTAAATTTGAAACCTTTAAAATTTTATGTTTTCAAGCACTTGAAACATTCTATGGCCAACATTATTGCCATTCAAGAAAGAGTTTTTTTGTGCAATTTTTTGATAACTTACACGGTGTCCTTAGCTAATGAAAATTTGACATTTTTAAACTAAAAGCTGTGATATATCAAGTTTCCATTGGTGGGATACTTGGTATATGAAGAATTTTTCCCATTTTAAGACTTCAAACACTAGATAACAGCCTTCCAATTGATTCTAAGTGAAGAAAATCTTGCATCTACACATCAAGTCCACTCTCTTCTAACTTTATATTGCATCAATTTCAACAAATAGTATGAACTAAACAAGCAAAAAGGAACTCCCATTTTAAGACTTCAAACACTAGATAACAAGCTTCCAATTGACTCTGAGTGAAGAAAATTCTGCATCGAACACATCACGTCCACTCTCTTCTAACTTTATATTGCATCAATTTCAACAAGTAGTATGAACTAAACAAGCAAAAAGGAACGCCCATTTTAAGACTTCAAACACTAGATAATAGCCTTCCAATTGATTCTAAGTGAAGAAAATCATGCATCTACACGTCAAGTCCACTCTCTTCTAACTTTATATTGCATCAATTTCAACAAATAGTATGAACTAAACAAGCAAAAAGGAACGAAAATGGAATGTGGACGAGCAACAATCGAATCATCAATCCAGAGAAAATGACAACTAAAACGATATCTCAACCTTCATATTTCGATTTACCTCGATGTTTTTTGCAAACAAAGCGGCATTTAGGATTCCCCTTCAATCTCTTAACTGAACAGAGGATTTCTTAAGGAATTCACGATGAAACCATTTAAGAAGAGACATAAATCAAATCGATTGTTATTTACCTAGAAGACGAACCCAAGTTGATTTCTTCCTCTCATTTCTTTAAAACCCTAGAGCACGAACCTTGAATTAGTGGATTTCGAAGATCTTATTCTGAACCTAGAAATCTCGGGAGTGGTTGAATTATGATAATAGCCTTCGGCTTGATAGGTAGGCGATCCAGTGACCCAGTATGATATGATGAATATCTATCGAATTTGGAGGATTACCAAAAAAAGTAGACAAATCGGACGGGGGTTCCACATATGAAATTCCAAAATTCTAATATAGACAAATCCCAGTTTTTAGAGTTTCAGCTCAATGAACTATCCCTAGACCCCATCTTCAAAGTTTCTCCTTTTCTCAGAACTCCCATCTCATCTTACTCAATTTCTGGGTTCATCTTTTGAACTTTGACCATTAAGGAGGAAATCCCACTTTCAATCTTCAAACAAAGGTCACAACTTTGTGCTTTATACCCTCTGTAAGTATTCATCCATTTCACCCTATTTACCATTTCTTGAGCTAACTTCACAACTTGGAGGATTGCTACTGTATTCTGTTAATTATTTATGGGGAAATCTGGGGGTAGGAGAAAGAAGGGTGGTTCAAACTAGGTAATTGAAAATTAAAATCATACAACTGCACATGTTAATGGTGGTGTTGATTTAGACTCTTCAATCTTTCTTAAGAAAGCCCATGAGCTCAATGAAGAAGGGAATAGGAGGCTTTAGAATAAAGATTATGTGGGTGCACTAGAGCGGTATGACAATGCACTGAAGCTTACTCCCAAAACCCATCCGGACCAAGCTGTGTTTCATAGCAACAAAGCTGCTTGTTTGATGCAAACGAAACCTATTGACTATAAGACTGTGATTGCTGAGTGCACAATGGCGCTTCAGATTCAGCCCCAGTATGTTCGGGCTCTACTCAGGCGGGCTCGAGCCTTTGAGGCGTTGGGGAAGTATGACATGGCGTTGCTAGATGTGCAGTTATTTTTGGATCACCGGGATGCTTTGCAGATTGCTGGAAGATTGAGAACTCCATTGGGTCCTCGCCAAGAAGCACATTAAGACCTCCAAAGCCGCCCTTCCCAACTGCGCTTGGGGCGACTACCGTTCGTGGTGCCCCAATTAGTGGTCTTGGGACTTGTTTACCTGCTCGGCCAGTTACAAAAAAGGCTGCATATTCAACTGGTGGATGAGTTGTATCACTTACTACTAATAAGCTTGAGAAGCTCCAGAGAAACGTATCAACTGAAAATGGTTCTGAGAACAAAACTTAGTTTCCAAAACTTGTCTTGAAACCTTTAGGCGGTTCTTCCAAAGATAATGTTAATTTGAATAAGCAAGGCCATAAAGAACAGTCCTCTTCCTCCACTTCATTGTCCATTCACGGGCAGGCTCCAAAGGTGGCAATCTGCTGGAAACCTTTGAAACTTGTTTATGATCATGGCATAAGGCTTGCCCAAATGCCTGTAAATTGTAGCTTTAGAGTGTTAAGGGAGATTGTCAGCAAATGTTTTCCTTCATCCAAGTCTATTTTTACGAAATATCAAGATAATGATGGAGACTTGGTAACTATAACTTGTATAACAGAACTCAGATTGGTGGAGTCCACAGCTGATGGTGTTATTTCAGAGGAGCCTGGCACAAATAAAGGTGAGTCAGTCAGTATGTTGAGATTGCATATTGTGGAGGTAAGTCCAGAACAGGAGCCAGTGCTGCTTATGAAGATGAAGAAAAAGCCTTGGAGATGATCATGGGAGATGAAAGTGGGTGTCCTTCATCCAATGGTGAATTAGTATTTGAGGCTATTGATATTGAGATTGATAAGACACACAAAGAATCTCCAAAGGAGAAAAGGGAAACTTCTAAAGATCCAGAGTCCAAAGAAGTTGAAATGGATGATGGGTTATCTCATTTGCTCAGCTTTTCCGCACCCATGTTGGTATAGACCCAGACGCTCATATAGACTTGCATGGGCTTAGGATGGAGCTCTGTTCGGAGGCTCTAGAGGAGGCAGTAACAAACGAAAGCTCAAGTCCTTTTTGAAAAGGCTGCTACGAAATTCCAGGAGGTGGCTGCTTTGGCAATTTTCAATTGGGGAATTGTTCACGTGTGCTGCTAGGAAACGTATTCCCTTAGATGAGTTAGCTAAAAAGGAGGTAGTGGTTGCAAAACTTCAAGTGGCTTATGACTGGGTTAATGAAAAGTATTCTTTGGCCAGAGCAAAGTATGAAAAGGCCCTCATGATCAAGCCAGACTTTTATGAAGGTTTGCTGGCACTGGGCCAGCAGTAGTTTGAAATGGCCAAACTTCATTGGTCTTTTGCACTTGCTAAGAAAATAGATCTTTCTGGATGGGATCCCTCAAAGACACTTCAACTTTTTGACAGTGCAGAGGAGAAGATGAAAGTTGCTACTGAGATGTGGGAGAAGTTGGAGGAGCAGAGAGCTAAGGAGCTTAAAGATCCAAATGCAAGTAAGAGGGAAGAGCTGTTGAAGAGAAGGAAGAAAACTAGAAGTGGTGTTGGGGAGACATTCGACTTAGCGGGATAATACTGAGTGATCAATGATATGTTTCGATATGACATTGGAACCAAAAAACTAATCTATTAGTTCCATGGGTTTTCACATATATAAGCCACTATTTCCTTCTATATCTTTTCGACATGGAATCTTTAGTTTTCCTCACACTGACAAGGAAACATACTACACTCCCCTTTTCCTTTTGAGTTGTGAAGGCCCATGAGAGTTCAATGATATATTTTTTTTTTTGACATACATACATGACATAATCCATGGATATACTCATCATGGGCTCGACATCATCTATGGGACATAACATTCACTCTCACTTTACTTTTTACTAAGCCCGGCCTAAGATTGAAATTACCATTGACTGTATTATGTTGGAGAGACATACCACTTAACGGAGCAACATTGAGTGGTTCATTAAATGTTTCGACATCACATTGGAACCAAAAAACTAATTTATTAGTTCCATGAGTCTTCACATATATAAACCACTATTTTTTTCTATATCTTTTTGACATGGGATCTTTAGTTTTCCTCACACTCACAGGGAAACATACTTCAACAAGTGGTACTAAAGGTGAGCCCTCTCAAGGTCAAGCAGAGTTATCTCCTGAGGAAACAACTAAACAAGCTGTTGTCATGAGATCACAGATACACTTATTCTGGGGTAACATGCTCTTTGAGAGATCTCAAGTTGAATGCAAATTAGGGATGGTTGGTTGGAAGAAAAATCTTGATGCTGCTATTGAGCGCGTCAAACTTGTTGGAGCTTCAAAGGCTGACATTTCTGCCGTTTTGATTAACCATTGCTCTAGAGTAGATGCAGTGGAAGGTGATGAAAAGAAGGTCAATGGTGAAGCAGAATTGGGAAATGAGGTCAGTCAACCATAAACAAAGTGATATGGAGGTGATGAAGTGATTAGATGCAAAGAAACAGGGGGAGAAAGATAGTCTAGGGGGTGAAGGGCCTTACTAAACTAGTCTGTGAAACAGACTCAACCATTGTGGCTCCAGCTCTCCAGAAACCTGAGTCTGCCAGGCGGGAGATTTCTCCCATCATTATTAATGCTGTCTGCTTGTCCAAGAGATTTGAATCCATCCAGTTCAGGGCAATCTCTCAGCAAGCCAAGGAGACAGCAAACTGGGTTGCAACCAGTACAAGAAAGGGGTTGAGCTTTGGAGATTGGGTTCAAGCACCCACTTCCTCGTTAGCTTATATGTTAGCTTGTGATCTCAATCCGTTTCATGTTCAGAACAATACTCATTATTCTGCTTTTAGTGTTCCCCCAGCTGTAACTTCTGCTTGATGCGGTTTTTGTAATGAGATACGCTCCTTTATGGCCAATAAAAGTTAGCTGCATAAAATTTACTCGTTAATACTAATTGGGCTGGAATCGTGCGGGCTTTGCTTTTGCGTTAAATTGTCTCAAAATAATTTTTTCATTAATTTTTAAATTTATCTTAATTTAATTATCATTTTTTAATATAAACATTTTTTATTTTAATTTTATGATTATTTATTTACTTTAATTAATTACATCACAAGAAATTTGACTATATCTTTTAAATTTTTTTAAAGGATGATATAGCTTAATATATAAATTATTTATAAATTCTTAATTTGAAAAAAAAATTGTT